ACTATTTTGAAGTTAGTGATAGTCCAGCTAGTCCATTGTCCCCTAAAGCTAGTATTAAATTTTAACAGTTGTATTCTTTTGGCCTTTACATCTGACCCCACTGTAAATTTAACCCCTGGCTACAGGAGACATAGGTGGTCAGAACAGTTACAAAAGACAGTAGAGGTTGCTCTGGAGAGTGCTGATATTAAGGAGAGGAGACAAATTCCATTAGGATCAGAAGTGAATAGTATTCAACACTATGAAGAGATTGTACAAGTTATAAAGCCATTGCTCATCAATGACAGACCCTAGAATACACACCCCTGTTCTACAAATGGGTGGTATGACTCGGAATGTAGAAACTTTAAGAAACTAATAACCAAACAAATGAGATATATTCAACACTATGAAGAGATTGTACAAGTTATAAAGCCATTGCTCATCAATGACAGACCCTAGAATACACACCCCTGTTCTACAAATGGGTGGTATGACTCGGAATGTAGAAACTTTAAGAAACTAATAACCAAACAAATGAGATTAACTAGACAAAATAAAGAGCCCCACCAACTCCAACAATTAAACACATTTAGATCCCAATATAAGAGCTTACTTAAAGAGGGGGGGGAAATGTGTTTACGCTAAGCATTTATGGAATGAACTAGTTCAGGCCATGTCTGAGAGGAAAGAATCACATTTTGGGGAAATTGTTTCATCTAGTTTAGGCAGACCTCGTCAAATGATGGATGCACAGATAAGTGGAAATACCTGGTTTGAGTATTTTACAAAAATCTATGAAGCTCCCCCTTTTATGTTGGAATCAGCAGAAACAGGAGAATGGGCTGTTGCTAATGAATTGCAACCATTATCAAAATGGCTTCCAGTGACAGAAGCTGAAATCGGAACCCTTATTACATCTTTGGCTTCAGGTAAATCACCTGGAGAGGACTTGATTCCTTCAGATTTAATAAAAAACCTTTCCCAGTTGGTGGACCCCAATACCTACTAAACTATTTAACCAAATAAACAACACGGGCATATTCCCAATAGGGTGGAAAACCAGTATAGTAGTCCCCATACATAAAAAGGGGGATAAGACAGACCCAAAAAACTATCGCCCCCAAAGCCTCCTTGAAACAGCATCCAAACTGTATGGGAAATCTCTTCTGCAAAAACTGGAGGACTGGGTTGCTGATAATAACATCATATATCCCCAACAGGCAGGATTTAGAAAGGGCCAAGGGACAATTGACCATTGCCATATGCTTTATCAGCTGGCTCAGCTATAAAAGTTCCAATGAAAGCCTTATACGCTGATTTGGCCACAGCTTTTGATTCAACTGATAGAAACCGACTCTGGGACAAGCAGATGAAAACAAACATTGATAAAAGACTGTTGTTCCTTATTCATGAGCTACAAACAGACACATACGCAAAAATGCGCATCGAGTAGAGTCAGGCTCAAAGACCAGCAAAATACCGACTAGCAAAGGAGTCAAGCAGGGCTGTGTGTTAGCCCCTGTACTTTTAAACTTATATATAAACTAGGAGGAACACCTGTTGTGGAAGGAGGCAACGAGCCCTAGGGAGAGCTGTCACTGTGGGGCAAGGGGGCTGGGCTGTCCCCCCGAATCTGTGCCAGGGTGTGCCACGCAGTGGCCTCCTCCCTCCCCGCGCCCAGCTGGGGCCAGCGGAGCTCCCCCCAATGCAGGGCCCACTGCCTGGCCGGCGAAGGCTGCTCCGGGTGGGGGAAGCACGACGTGGCGGCCAGAGAGAGGCCTGGCAGTGGGGAAGGGGGTTGGCCTGCTCCCCCTGCAAGCAGGGCCTGCCACCTCCATTGCCGAGGCCTTAGTGGGTGGGGCAAGCATGGTGTGGCTGCCTCCCCCTTCCCCAGGTCAAAGGAGGGAAGTCCCCCGAAGAAGGGTCTGGTGCCTAACCGTCCCTGGCTGGGATGGGTGAGGGAAGGGTGGCGCGGCCGCCTCCCCCATCCCTGAGGTGAGCCGGGCCTGGCGCAGAGCCCCCACCACCAAAGAAGGTGTTGGACTGAGGCGGACTGGGCAGGCAGTTGGGAATGACCTCCTCCTCCGCTGTCCCCGGCCTCTGCTGTCCCCCTTGATGCCAACCCGGTTCTCCAGGGCTGCCACACCCTCCTGTCACCATCCCTGGCTTCACTCCCTGCCCAGCACCATTGCCTGGCATTGCAGCCTTCCTTGCCCGGCTTCTGGTGGCGGCATTCGCTCGCAGCGTTCACCTCCCGCCTCCTAGCCAATGGCATGCCAGCAGCCTTGAGCAGCAGCTGACAGGCCAATGGCTGATGGCGTGCATTTTTTCTCTGCTCCCTTACTCAATTATATATAAGGAGAGATGATATTGTAGCAAGACTAGCCGGCCCTGAATTTTACTGTATGCAGATGATATGTTCCTAATTTCTCTAACCAGGATTTGATTAAAGAGGAAAAGTTGCGGCTGAAGTGCGGCTTTTCTACACCAAACAGACAGATCCCCCGAGCCACCGCGCATTGGCTCCCCAGCGCGATCAGATGCAAGGGGGAAGCCACGGACAGTAGAGTGAGGCAAGGCAGCTGCGCATGTGTGCGCCTGCGCAGTTGGGCAGGGGGCCTCGCATGCTGCCGGAGATGGGCGCGCTGGCAATCACACGGCTGCCCCTGCTGCAGATTTTCAGGTAAGTAGTAGTATTTTGTAGGGGTTTTTTTGATCCGCATCTTCTGCTGGAAGAGACAGATCGGGGACAGGTGCGCGCCGCTTCCCAGATGTTGTGATGTGATCGCGCCCACTTGATGCACCCCGATCCATCCCTCTCGCAGATCAAAGCCTCCCGTGTGACCGGGGCCAGAGATCAGCAGGAGCAGTTTTCTTCATGGCAGAAAGAGCAGCCAGATCACAGGCTAATGTTTGCAAACCAGGCTGCTGCTCACAGGCACAGGAACAGGATCCTGGGAGCAAAGGTAGTGAGCCTCCCCAACCCTTCTTGTTCCCACCCAGGCTGAAAAAGTCTCACACTCCACACCCACAGCAATTCTGTGTGCAGACACTCAGGTCCTTGAAAGGTCAAAAAACCTCAAAGGCAGAAAGTCCCTATGAGGAAAGGTTAAGGCGCTTAGGGCTCTTTAGCTTGGAGAAACGACGACTGAGGGGTGACATGATCGAGGTTTATAAGATGATGCATGGGATAGAGCAGGTAGAGAAAGAGGAACTTCTGAGATCAGGCTATCCTGGACCATCCATCCCGTTATCTGATCTTTTTAACTGGAGATGCTGGAGACTGAACCTGGGATCTTCTGCATGCAAAGCAGGTGCTCTGAATAAACCATAAACTTCCCCATAGCACCGTTTGTCTGATGAATTTTAGCAAGGTCAACAGTGGGAGGGCTTCTAGTGTCCTGGCCCCACTGGTGGACCTCCTGATGGCACCTGGTATTTCTGGCCACTGTGTGATACAGAGTGTTGGGCTGGATGGGCCTTTGGCCTGATCCAACATTGGCATCTCTTATGTTCTTAAATGAAACTTCACAAATTTAAACTCCCCCGAACACATTAAGGGAATCTCAGTGAGTCCTGGGGAGGGGAAGGACCTCAGCAAGATATAATGCCACAGAGGCCACCCTCCAAAGCAGACACGTCCCCCAGAGTAACTGATCTCTGTTAGCTACAGATCAGTTGTAATTCCACAGGACCTCCAGGCCCCACCTGGAGGTTGGCAACCCCAATGGGCAATATGGTTCGATTTCTCCTGGTTCTATATCGAGCAGGCCAATTTCTTCCCTGGCAAGGCTCCTGTGCCTTCAAGAGCTGTAAAGTCCCCCATAAAATGCATCCCACCTCCAAGGAGAGAGGGGATAATGGGTTTGTCATGGGAAGGGGGGCTTTCGTTAAAATGAGACAAATTATGGAAAGGTTGAAGAACAGCATGTAGGGTTTTAGAGCTGTAAAACATGTTA